TGCATTTTGCATACATGTATTAAGAATTTATATAAATTTTATTATAAATTTCAATACGAGATTTGACTTCAAAAAATTTTAACTCATGTTCGCGGTTCGCGATGGAGTTCGATTTGAGGTTCGTCTGCAAGTTCTGCTCGAGATTCGGTTCGCGGTTTGGCTCGATAATGTGGACCCTCCTTTTATACTTCACGCACGTGTCATGAAAGAATAATGAAGCGGCACGTGAAGCTTAAATCGACCATATCAAGCCGACTGAAAAATTCATCTTTGAGCTCATCCTACGCATAAAAACTGATCAGTCATTGAATTGAGGTATCATTAAAATGAACATTCTATCGATGTTCGATATCAATGTGTGCCGTTGAATATTACTAAAGATTTCAAAGTCACTTTCGTTCTCTCCCTTTTCCTTTCTCTCTCTCTCTCTCTCTCTCTCTCTCTCTCTCTCTCTCTCTCTCTTTCTCTCTCTCTCTCTTTGCTGTATCAGATTTATCTACAACTTGCGACTGGATGAGCATATAACTCCATTTAGGCGTCGTCTGGGGTGGCTTTCAGTTGAGAACAGAAGGCTGTACTTCTTGGGTTGCCAATTGTATAGGTTACTCCATATGGATTCGCCGATGTATTTGCGGGAACTTTTCACTACCCTTGATCCATCGCTCAGAAGATCTGATCGGTTGGTCACTTCTTCTCATTCCTTTCATATTCCTGCACATAGGACCGTTACTTATAGAAATTCCTTCCATCTCTCAGGTGTTTACTTCTGGCAATCCCTCCCGGTTCATATTACATCTGCGTCTTCGTTTCCATCATTTAAAAGTCTTCTTCGAGCCTATTTGTTCTCGTCTGAATTTGCGTGTTAGGTCGTGTCTGCGGGTTATTATTTTTATTAATATTTTCTTTTCTTCAGTTTAAAGGTTCTTTAGTTTTAAGTTATAGTTTTAAGTTAGTTCTTAGTTATATGCGATATGTTACCTATGTTAGTTATATTATAAGCTGCGTTTGTAATGTTAGTGGTAACACACATATTCTTTCTATGTACATATGCGCTGTTTTATTCTTGCCCTTTAGCTTTGCTTGGGCATAAATACATACCAATCAATCAATCAATCAATCTCTCTCTCTTTTTCTCTCTCTCAACGTTAAAACCTTGAAACATTCCGATACACGAATTCATCGTTTAATTTTATGATAAATGAAAATAAATATAAAAACAACGATCTGAATTTTTAGAAAATTTTTAATAAATTAAAACTTGTAAGTTAGGTGAAAAGATAGCTTACAATACGTGACAATTTTGCAAATTTCTGCACTTTATAAGATATTCTTCGATCTTTCAGAATTGCGATGAAGGTTGACGCGAAGTACTTTGATCAAAGTTAACTTACTCGATACGGGAATGCTGATTAAAATTATGAGATACAAAGGGCTTTTCCTTCTCAAAAGGATTTCTGCACATTGAAGCGAAGGAAAAGCCAGACAGCCGACTGCGCTTTGCAATGTAACAGCAAAGAAGAAACCATTTGCATATTTCGACGTGGATTACGATTCGCTATTCCGTGCTTACCGCTTGATGCTATTTACTTTGTGTGTGCGCAATGAAATACCTTACTACTAGGATATCTTTGAAACATCCTGCATTATATCATTCAGAATTTGCGGAAGGCACTTTGAAAACTTTCTTACATTGCTTTAGCATACAAAAATTACAGTTGACAACTTCCTTTTTATCGTGTATTAACAGAGTTATGACGTTCTATATACAGGATGTATCGTAATATCTTTGGTGGTTCCTCCAATGATGTTTTTCGTTTCAATTTCTTAATTAATGTAAGATAATTAATGTATTCTGATAATTTTTTTAATAGTATCTAATAATTATTTTATATCTATTTCTTTGGAACTATATAATAGTGTAACAGTACTATAATATTTTATTTTATTTTATTTTAATTTGTATGCTTATTCAGTTATTTTATTTTACTTTGTCATTTATTTCTATTTTCCATTTATCTAGCATATAAATGCTTCCATCGTAAGAATACTTTGATTAATTATTTATCAGCTACTAAGAGAAAACCGTTTTGTTAAAATTTCGTTCTGCAAACAAATGCAACGAACCGTTACAAATAAATTACTATCAGATGTGTGAATAGTGAAAATCAAAGAGCGCAGGATGTCCTGCAGTGCACAGTGATATCTCTGAACAAATGAACCAATTAGCAGTAGCCATTAATCAAGCTTCATTCAGGGTGTTTGTCCGCTGCGCTCGTAAATACGCTTTTCAATAATAAAAACCTATACATATAATCGTAGTGCCTCAATAAAATCCCGTCGATTAAAAATACAGATTAAGTGTCGCACACTATAACTGTAGTTTAAATAAAATTACTAATTAAATGTCAACTGAAAACAAAAATAAAGATATAAGATTATTCATAAAATCTTGACTTTTTTATTGTTTTGATTTATTTTGTTTAATACTTTATTTACTTTTCATATTCGAAAAAAATAACAGATTATATTTATTTTAGATTCTGTTGGGTAGTGTTCAAAGTTTTATATTTATTTTGAATGTTATTTTTTTATATGCTTTGAAGCACAGAAATGTTTTAGACGGTCCATAATCTATAACAAATTCTTATTTATGATTATATGCTCTCTCTAACACAAAAAAATAAGAGTATACGCACATACATATACACATACATAAAACACATTATATAGAATACACATACAAATAATAGATAAATTTTTTTTTCTGAATTTTGACATGTATCATAGTCTAAAATGGATGCGTGTTTTCCATGTTTTACATTCTATATTTTATCAATATCTTACTAATGAGTAATAAATATTGATTTTTGTTAATTAAATTATTAATTATCCGTCAATCGATAAACTTCGTGCAAATTCCTCGTCAATTAGCTCAGAGTTTATTTAGCCATAATGCAGATTGATAGATATATGTATACATATATATACAATATGATATTCCCTGAGCTAAAATAATCGCGAATTATGACGAACGG